GCAACTTTTGAGGTTATGAAGAATGACGAAATTTGAAGAATTGAAATAATGTTTACAATACTCAAGTTTGTTGCAAGATTAGGAATATTTCTGACTAAACTAACCTTTTTGTCCATTTAAGCAAAGCTAGTCTCGACTTGGTCTCTGGTTTACTTAACTTCTAGTCATGCAGCATGTGAAGATCAACATTATAACAAATATATTGTTTATCTTGATATGATATTTGTCAAAACAAATTATTTTAAAAATCTCAATTAAAAGCACTTTGTAGACATTCTAAAATTGCATTCAATAATGTCACAAAACTTTCAAATCTTCTTAAAAAATCTCAAATTTAAGGCACACCTATCATCATCTTTCAACTCATCACTAATTAACTTCTAAAAACATTTTGTAAAGCATAAAATTAAATTAAATTTCTTCCTTCCTCTGACCTTACTGGCATAACAGCACAAATATATCTATATCATCGGAAGCATCGTCACGATTATTAAATTTGATACTATAAAAGCATTTTTCAAGGTTTTTTATGATGTAATTATGAGCATCTTTCATTGTCTTTCTCATATTTTTTGTATGTTTCTCGTGTCTTTTGCGAACTTTCCATCATCAAACTTTCAAATGCTTTTATTGCTATCTTGAATGAATGAATGGTAGAACATCCTCAAACATGTTAGAAAAACTTTCATGGGAAACAATAAAGATTTTTTTTATGAAAAAATGAAGAGCACTTGTCATAGATGTTGATTGTCGTCTGCTACCCTTAAGGACAGAATCTGAAAAAGCAACACATTAAGTAAAAAGAAGTAAATTAAATGGGGAAAATAAAAAGAAAATTGAGACAGGAAAGAAAGCAAAGATTGAATGTCATTTTAATCTAAGAGGATGGCAGTGAAGGAAGTGTCTAGGGATGGCAAGTTAATTACTTTCAAGGTATACTGAGCATGATTATGATTTTCAAGGACTTTAATTCCCAAAGTTTCTCAAGTTTCTAGGACAACTAGGTAGTTGTCTTATGAGATGACAGAAGCACATGCCAACCTTGATCCATAAACTTATTACACCCACTAATCTACAGATAGACAACTTTCTTCCCCTGAAAAATAAAATCTGCTTCCATCTAGAAATTCTCTTTCCATTTCCAGTATTCAAACAAAAAGCTTGAATGAAGCTTTTGCATAAAACAGAGAGGGAGAATATCCATATATGAATGCGATAAGAATAAATTTTCATTAAATTCATATTCAGCTGGCGCCTTGAAAATTTCTCAATGTGACACGAAAAATAAAGTTTGAAGGCAGAATGAAACGACAAAGATGTAAGAGTCGAGGAAGAATAATTGAATTGTTGTTCAATGATTTTCAAGAGCATCTGAATTTGTTGATTGAGTCGAGATTTGGTAATGAGTTTTAGGATTAATTTAGAGTATGTTATCCTTATTGCCACTGGATGTTGAAATCTAGATCATCGAAAAACTATTCATAAATCCTCCATTAACTTCCAATGAAACAAGACAAAATAAATGTGTGTAAAAAATAATAAATTTCTCTGTGTGGTCGTTGAGAAATGGCGAGCAATTTACAGACTTTATGGTTGCTCCGTCACATGCTTACACGCCATTGTAGCTTATTTACTTGAGACGCACGCACAAAATAAGAAATATTTCTTGTTGTTGTTGTGCACGCTACATTAACTTTGCACATCAATCAGCTGCACACATCATTATCTATAGCATACATATGTATATTAGTTTTGGAACAAGAAGGAATCGATTTACTTTAACTTCCATATCAATGTTAATTGCTTACTTCATGCAATAATGATGATGATGAAGTTTCATAAATGAAATATGTGTGTTTGTGCTTCTTGTAAATAAGCAATTTAACAATTTTACACTGACTTGAATCAAGTTTCGAAAAAAAAAATTCAACTTTCATGTCAATTTATCGTCGACTTATGCTTGCCATCATCAATTTTAATATCATTTTTATTTCAAATGTTAATGCTCTGCTCTCATTTGTTTCCGTCTTCACATTATTAATAATTTATGAACGAAATGAAAAGGTGAAATAATTTCTTATGAAATGCTCGACTTGGATCGAATGACTCGATGAAATGAGAAATTTGTGGATGTATGAAGTTACGATTGTAAAGTCATTAGTCGATTTTATTGCCTTTTCTCATGAAAATTTACTGGGTTTGATAAGTAGATTGTTACATTTCATGTTAAAAATATGATTAATAACTAATGAAGACTTTGAAGACAGACTTCAGTTGTTCAAAAGTTGACAAAAACAAAATAATTTACAATCTTCTCTAAATACCGAAAGGAATCTAATTCAATCCACTTAAACTTACTAATTGTGTCAAAAATTCTACAGTTCGTAAAATATTCACAGTTCACAACATCCATCACTCAAAATACCTTTCTGATTTCAAAAACAACCTTTCAACATCATAACAAATCATTTAAGGAAGTTTAAAATTAAAATTAAATCAGTAAGATGTAAGTAATCTGCCATTTTGTACCGCATTTCCATTGAAATCATTAAAATGTTCTCAACTAAGGTTTCATAAACCAACTTTTTATCTCAAAAATTCTCAGAATTATAACAAAACACAGAAAATCACAAACTAGCTCATTGTTCCATTCCTTTCATCGTTGCCTTAGGCATTTGAATGCCAATTTTATTTTGCACTGAATATGCATGAAGCACAGAACCTTTTTATATTCCATCCATCAGCTTTTTTTGATGTTGTAAAGTGAAGAATGTAACAAACAATAATAAATTGTTGCCTAGTTTAATAAAATATTCTTCCAAAGTCAAGCTACACGCTCAATAGGGAGAAGAATGGATGGAATGCAACACATAGGAACAACCGCAAAAGCAATTGAGTTGTACAACAATGAAATTATTATTATTTCTCTTGTTCCTTCTCTGCTTAGCTTTTTTTTTTGTTGTATCTTCATTTAATTTATTCATCTGAAATGAAATACAAACACAAGAAGATTTTGTAGGAACGAGCATGTGGATATGCATGATAAATTAAAAGAAGAAAGAATTCTATATATAATGAAAATGAATCTTTTTATTGCTAACAAAAAAAAATCAACAAAATGGAAAGAAGAATGCTTTTTATGTGTAACAAAATTTCTATCCTGATGGACTCTCTCACGCACTCTGCAGAAGAAGTCTTGTTGCGAAGCAACTGCATGAAAAGAATATTGAATTCAGATAGATTTAGTTAAATTTTAAGGTGTAGGTTGATCCACTTTGTTAAGGTATCATTGATCTGGCTGTCGATTCTTCCCGCAAATTTTTAAAGTTACGGTCTGCAATTCCAGCTCAATCAATTTTAAATATTTTTTTTTGATAAATCATCTAAAATCTCATATACTGGTCCCACGCTGTATTATAATTAACCCACCATTTGCAAAAACTGAGCTGCATCTCCCTAGACATTCACATGTTTCATGCTTATACCCAGAAAAAATTCTCTCAAGCAAGAATTCTTGAAAATTCATGCAAGGTAGAGTAAAAAAAATATATTTTACCGCCGATGAAATGTGAATAATTTTATTTTTATCTCGTGATGAAATGGAGGGACTACCATGTGGTAGCTGAGAGAATGAGGCAGGAGATTAAAGTAAAAAAATTACTAACGTATTCATTTTTAAAAACAATGGAAAAATGGGTGGCTTTTTATGAAATTTTTATGGCAAAAAAGTGGAACTGAATTTTTTTGTGGTTTAGCGAAACATAAATTGGATTTTTAAAAGCAGCAATTAAATGTACAGAAAAGAAATTATATTTTGTGACTCCACTGTGGCTTTCAAACCTTGAAATTTTTATGAACTGCACATCAAAATGCCAATGGACTCTTTTTGTATCTGCATTTCAGTAAATATCAAGCATAACCTCAAAATACCAACAAACTTAACCCTTAAAATCTTGACCTAACCGATCTATTTCTTCTATCCAATAAAAATTTCAGAAAGTTAAATCAATTTGCGTCAGCAGTAAATACCAACCTCAATAAAAATTCTCATAGACCCATTACTATACACAAAATAAGGTTAACTTAATCAACACTTTAGTTTGAGTCCGAATCCAATGAGATTTTTCTGTCTATCCTCTCGTTCCCAAACGAAAAGGGCATGGCAATCAAGATCATCCGACAAAAATTCAATAATAATGAAGAGAATTTTTTTTATATTCTGACCATTCATCATCTGTACATATTTTCCGCTCTAGTCCCCCTCCTTTTCCTATGTCTCACTTCCATTCCATTTTCGTGAGAACTGTCTGCTGTACTACTGAGAAATTTCTTTCAATTTATTACCTTCTGAATGCCAAAAGGAAAAGAGAAAAAAGTTTGATAAATTATCAGAAAATGAGTTTTTGACCTGCGGCATTTATACATCGACATACATTGTATATAATACTGCAGAACATGTTGCTGCCTCATGATTCCTATTGGGAACTCTGTGATTAAAATGCAAATGTATTGAAATCTGAATAGTGTATGAGGAAGATTCCAGTGAATTTTGAGGTTAAGTCACCCATTGAAACTCCAATAGACCATAGTTCCCTCACCTTGTACCAGCCTGTCCATAAATAATCCAATAATTGACAATTCATGCACAATCGCAATAATGACGAATAATATGAATAATTAATTTGTTAACTGTCGGCTGATCAACATACTATATATAAAGCATCAGCCAATGTCCCCTAGCCATATCTTTTAATAGTTTGCACTGCATGAACTTTAATGTCGCAATCATTTCCAATGAACTGAGAATGAAAAATAAAAAATGACAATAAAGAAATTTGCATATTTCACGAATGCTAATTATACACCATGAATCAGTAGACTCTTTCGATGCGTCAATAAAATATGCAGAATACAGACAAAAACATATGCAGCACAATTTTTATTTTTTGGCAACAAAAAAAAAATCTAATTTTCGACATATTTTTTGTTTTTATTTTCAGATTGCTGTTCATTAAGCTGCTGTCGATATTTCATTCTATAACGGTAAGTTGAATAATTACTTTTGTGTTTGCATGTCCATGGTACATCCTAGAGAACAAAACAATGTTGATTTAGTGTCTTTACGTTGAGACTAATAAAGTCATTAGCTATGATTGACGAATAGTTTGAAGAAATTGAGAATTATTGTCCTTTAAGATAAGGACTGAGTTATTATGTGGATCTGCTTATGTAGCTCATTTGTACGACAAAATTGGTCAGCAATAATTTCTTAGATCAACTTCTTATTATCTCTTTTAATTCCACTAAAATAAAAATCATTTTCATTTATTTAAAGACTCCACAGCAATAAAGCTAGAAATTATTAGTGTGTGGATGACATATGCTTTTCTTTTTATTTCATTTCTAGTTAAAAGCTCATTTTTCTTCAGAAAAATTAACAAAAGAAAGTCCAATTTAAATACAATGTGAGAGATTCACATGACTGATATATTCTAGCTCCAATTCATTTGTATATTGTCTTCATTCTTTATAACTCTTTACATAGCATAGCATAAATTCCATGTAAATATTAAACGAGATCAGTTATCGCTGTTAATGCATTGTGAACGAGTACTGAGTATGAAAATGAGAAAGATAATTAATATTCATTCATTAGTTTCACTCTACGTGATCCGTTTCACTATATGAATGATTGAAGAGTGCCCTACGTGTCTAAATCAAAAATAGTTTCGTCTATACTTACACGCTTTTTATTGAGTTGCTAAATATGTGCATACATAATGTCAATGAAAATGTCCAAGATTGACTTAAACTTTATTCAATTTTATCCTCAATTTTACATGTGAGTAAGCTTGAAAAGTTCTTACTTATTCACCGCACGTTCCAAACCCAATATTGTGTCAAAGATTTACATCACCTTTTAACATATGTACTGCAAGTGTCAGTCATTCAATCTTACGTATATTCTCGTTTCAACAATCTTTAAATGGCGAGAATTTGCATGTATGAAATATGATCAACATGACAAGCCTTTTTAATCTACTGATTAATGATAGTGTCGTCTCCCTACAGGTTACTTATAATATGTAAAATCAGGTTGTTTGGATAAACTGCTGAAAATTTGTGGAAAATTAAAAGACTTTAAAAATTAAAATTTTTTTCTAAGTTCCGTTAAAATTTCAAACATCCAAAAATCTGTTAAAATGTTTGAATTTTAAAAATCCGTTAAACCACTTCATCAAATCAATCTGAGTAAAATAATCTCCACTGCCGTCATGACCTCATAAATTTTTACCTCCTTCTTCTTTTACAACTTTTTTTCCACCTTCCATTTACATGATAACTTACATGATGTTAAAGTTCAGATCTCTGCGGTTTGTTTCCAAAAGAAGAACAAAAAAGTACTTTTTAGTAAATAAAATATTTGAAATTTCAACCTTAGCACACATATTAGCAACCACATCATGTTGTGCTTTAGATTCAAGTACATTTATGCTTTTATTTATGCATGTGTATATGTACAGTACTCAACAACCATTTCCCTTATAATTAAATTTGAATTTCAAAAATAAAACGAGTAAAAGGAAGGAGAATGAAGTCGGTACAATGAAAAGGAATAGTCAAAGAAAAGAAGCATGAAACCACATGAGTGCACATAATGCTCACAATGCTTGATCGTTAATTTAATCAAAAAGGCATTTATTAAATATTTATCTCGAGTGTGGCAAGTGCTCTGATGTTGATTGCAGAGTTACGGAAGTTTCGATGCTAGATATTATTGAGCTAAAGATTAAATTTTGCAGGCATAAACTTGATATTATATGTCCATACCCTGACTCGAACACGACAGCATAAATAATGCGATATTTTATGCATTTATGTGCTTATCACTCTATGCAGTAGCGTTATGTATGATGACAGGTCAATGACCTTCCGAGCGAGAACAAAAAAAAATTACACACATGAAAATTCGTTTATTGTGTCTCGTAGTGTGAACATAATCTAATTCCTAGCGGTTAAACAGAACTTTATTCACAACGGCATAGAAAGTGAGATAGAGAGCAAACAAAAAGGGAGGCAGCATACATTTACAGCTTTATGAATATGTTAAAGTCAACGACGTTGAGTAATGACCTAGATTTATTCATGATGATCAGAATATTATGTGATATGAAAAAATCCATCGTCAATGAACAATTATGAAACAGAATATTATGCTCAATGAATATGAAGTGAATATTTCAATTAACTATGGATGTAATGGATGCTTATGTGAAGAGGTTTTTAATTGATTCAATTTGTGGCTAAATTTTATAGCCTGTCTGAAGTGGATAGAAGGGTTTCATCAAATTTTCACATATAATGCCTCAATTTTTGTTGCCATTCTTGATTAAATGACTTTATATCCAAAATAAAATCCATAAAACACCACTCAAGCATATCAAATGAGACATCATGTAAATATTGTCACAACACGAATTAGCGTGTAAATTTGTCAAGTAATCAACTTTTTAATTATGAGTTATAGTCGTGAGTCATTCAGGTTGTGTTCCTCAAATTCAGTCGAGCAAGCTCGTAAATAAGCATTCCGAATGTCACAAAAAATCATAAATTATGTCATAAAATTACTGATTAAAATTAACTTTCATTAAAATTCACTTGAACTATTTTCTTTTTATGATTCTCTGATGAATGGCACAAAAGCCTCTTGTGCTTGACCTTTATTTTTTGACAACCTTTCATTTCTTGCTCGTTTTCACTTTCTTTTCTTGTCTACATTATTTTTTAAATTAATTGAATGGAATTAGTGATGTGTGTGGGTCTGAAATTTGTAGGCTTTAAAATTGTAACAGCTTTGTTGATTAAGAGATTCTACTAAATCATCGAATGATGAATTTGAATTAATTTTTGAAACTAGACTATCATCTTGATTCGAATTTTGTGAATAAACTCCTCATGTCCGCAAATTAGGGCTTTATTCCAATTAAAAACTCTTCAAAAGCTACTAAAATAACCTTAAAAACATGATTTATTTTGAAACCAACATTATTTACCTTTTCTGCTAATCAAACCTAAATTCTCATTGGAGATTAAAAACATTACAGCACTGTTGATTCGCAAAATAAACCGATGAATATTTGACCCACACCTCCGAGGGTTTTTCGTTTCTATTTCATCGCTATGAATAAATTTGTACTGTATTTGACTTTCTACGGGTTTCTTTAGTTCAATGTCTTGATGCCTTAGATATTTTAAGTGCGTAGGATGAGCGATAAATGTAGTACTAAAGGTGTCAAATTTTTCCACTAATTTCTTCATGTTCTACAAGTTTCTTATTGATTTATTTTGAAAAAGATTCATCAGTATGTTAATTTGACATGTCTTGCTGAGTCATGTTCTTGTCGGCTTGTGCCAGAGCATTTAAATATTATTTAAATTTTTTAAGCTTAAACGACATTCCGATGACAATTTTTTTGCTCCCATTAAGAATTTTTTGAGATATTTTAATAATGAACTGGGGTGGATGCTGAGCTAATAAGTGGAGCAAGTTAACATTTGTTGGATTTTTCAAGCATTAATTCTCATCTATTATTCGTAGATTCATGAAATCAATTAGCCAAAATAGTTCTTAAATATCCATTAAAGTTTTCCATCAACAGAAATCTCACCTTCAACCTTCGAACTTCTGTTTTGTCTAAAAATGGATTTTCGTGCCATCACTTGCGGTATTTTCACACGTTCTAAAAAGGAAATGTTTTCTCTTCACATGTTAGCTAATCTTTTAAGCTTATTTGATTCTATTTACAATGAATATTTTTTCTATGCTAATCAGTTATCCGATAAAGTAGACGGTTAAGCTATTAATAGTTTTATGAGACAATAGATGATACTCTGCTGCTGACAATTAATCAAAGTATGATTAATTGAATGTAATAAATTCTCTCAATGACTTGTTAAAAGGTTTCCACAATAACTTTTGACATACCACGAAAAAATAAGACATAAATGCTATTAACTTAATTGACCAATTTCATAATTTAATTTTGTAGGAAATTTACCCCTAGCGAGACTAACTAGCAAATTGCTAGTCTTTCTATTCTACAACTTGCAATTTACTAGTTATTATTAAAACAACTTACTGTTAATAAATTACACTTGCTATTTACTAGCAAATTACTAGCAAATTACCATGTAAAATATTTGATCAAATCTGCTTAAGTTCGAATCTTACGAAAAATCATCAAAAAAATAATTTTTTGCGTCATAAAAAATTTTGTTCTAAATTTGGCATTTGCCATATACTTCACAAGAGCGCGCAGAAATCACCTTTATAAGGTCGATCCAAATTTGTTTGTGACTTTCAATTAATTATTTATCTTCCTCAGGTTTGCGTGCGAGTCATGGGCGTTCATCACTATTCGACTTAATTAAATTAAGTCTTTTATTTATTTTTCATAGTGTTAGTGTACTTTAATTTACTTTATCTAAGTGCACACTAATACTTTAACAATAATTTACACAAATAAGAAAAATCAATAGAACACGCGGAAATTAACGGTTATATACATTTAAATTTTTTAAAAATTTGCTAGTAAATTACTAGTTAAATTGTAAGCGAATTGACTAGTCAATTAGCAAGTGAAAATGCGGGTCTTTGGCGATGATTTGAACTTGGATTTTGACTAGTAAATAGCAAGTAGCAAATGGAAAGTTATCCAGTAAATTACTAGGAAATTACTAGTAAATTTCTGCTAGGGTTACATTCATTGATGAAATTTAATTGATTGGAAGTCATAGCGGTGAATTTTGAAGCGTATTTGTAAGGTTTTGGGGAGTTTTAGCCTAATGACTTGGTCACAAATGAATGGTCAAACTTAATTCCATTACATGAAATTCCTATAAAATCCTACAAATTAATTAAAAGACATAATGTACAACGAGGTATTTCCAATACTCAACGTAATTTCGCTAACAAGAAACTTAAAATTTTCACAACCTCTGTGAGATCCATAAAAGATAAACTCATGGAGAGAAAGAAGGTA